TCGCTCTGACCTTTAATTAAGATGCTATGGCCAAATATGGAAGAATCCTGTCCGGCTCATAACTAGAAAACTATTGGACTTAGAATCATCAAACTTGGCCAATTTATGCATCTTAGGTAGAAGGTGTGTCGCGACCTATTCAAGGTCACTATGACCTTTAATTTAAGTGAAATTTAAAAAAAAAAGTCTTTTTACTATTAGATTACACAACCCCCCAAAAATTCAAGAGTGTTGCAGTATCCTTATAAAAAAAATGTTAAATCAGGAAAATACTTATTTTTTTCATTATATACTTTACAGCAACCCATGACGAATGTAATGTTACAAGAGAAAATTCCACCTCTCCCATTGGTGTAATTATCAAGCACTCGTCAAGGAGAATTTGATAACAGAAAATTACATGTCAAATTAGAGAGAAATTCATGAGTTTAGTGTGAGGCGCTAACTGGTAGAGCATATCTGATCAAGCAGGTGTTATCTATATCTCTTGGAACTGGGCATAAAGAATCAGCCCTGTTGGATTAAATAGTTGGCTAGCCTAACTTTTAAAATGAATTTGGTGAAAAGTAACTAAAACTTATTTGATATTGTATAATAAATTAATTTGATATTGTATAATAAACTAATTTGATATTGTATAATATAATTAGAACTAATTATACTCGGGAGGGGGGTGATATTGGAATCAGCAAGCCCGTTGTCCATATGAATTGCAACTTAAAACCAGTCTGACATTAAATATGAAACAAGTATTTAAAAAAAATGTTTTAATTATGGTAGATAGTCCCTGCAAACCTAAGAGTAATGCAGGAACCTTATTAAAAATGTTGCATCAAGATTACACAATTTTTTTTTCTTTTTATAACTCTTTGTTTTCAAATTTAATTTTCAGAATGACATAAATATGCATTTTTATTGCACTACAAAGCAGATAGTATGTATAGATCCATAGTGAGTGGACATGCATCCAGTTAAAGATTAATTAATGAGTTCATGTAGGAAGGCTAGCTGTCTCAATCATTTCTGTTAAGATCTCTGATCAAGCAGCTCTTATCTGTATCCTTTGGGAATTTTACAGAAGAACTGCTTGTCAGTTTATTGCATATGTCATTTGATGGCCAGCCTTTTATTTTTAATATTAATTTGATATAGATTAAGTTGTTATGAGTAAATTGATATTGTTTAATATGATATTTTTATTTAATTTTTTTGAAAATATCAACTGAATCAGAGCATCATGTCTCACAAATCTGAAAGCTGGGGGGGGGGGGGGGTGGGTGCAGATGGGCATTTGTCAAGCTCTAACACAACCAGTTGAGGATCTATAATATTTGTTATAATTAATGCCTATACCACAGGAGATGTATAAAAAATATATTATAGGGAATGGAAAAATCATTGAAATCCTTGTATCAAGGTTGACATGATTTTGTTGCACTCTAAACTGTTTATGACAATTGAACAATATTTGACGGGCGTATCATGCTGTGGCGGGGCACTTCATTATAGCATAATTGTTATCAATAACATCTTTGTAAAAAAAAACATTTTCAATAAATTCTGCAGACATCCTGCCAAATCGAATATTAGGTACTAAAGAGTGTAAGTGGCTTGCTTATCCCTATTGCCAGGGGACACCCAATTACACAAAATATCTTTTATATACATAAAAGCTTCTTCTCATGAATACTTTAGGTATCCTTTTTATCGTCATTGAAATAACACTCACACCCAATGAGCAAAATGCTTCAACATTAAACAGATAAACCTTTTCAAAAAATGTTGTCTGTGTATCACAAGGCCTTTTCCAAGACATGCTCTAAATAAAGGGATTAGCAGTATTAATAACATGCCAAACTTTCTCATTTGAAATACAACTGCAGAAAAAATTTACACATTTATCAATTAAATCTTAAATGATGTAAAAATCGGAAGCTTGCAAAACTTCAAGAACATTTTCAAATAGACAAATCAATGTTATATCTGTAAAAGAACTCGATTTGTTTCCAATGGTGCAAAATCTGTGCACTTGATAGGATTTTTATGGTCCCAGTTCTGATTGTGACTTAACCAGTCGCTTCGTAAATCAACAACGTGCGATACGCTCCAAAGGTGGTGCCATCTGCTTACTCAATCTGGACATCACACAAGTTTTGATTTTCAAAAACATCAATTATCTTTAATCCTAGATTAGCCATTTTGTGATGAATTTTGGATCTTGAAGCCCCCTGGTTCAGAAAAGGTAACGGAACAAGCGGGGAGAGTGAAAAGGCTAAAGTAATCGTTGCTTTATCAAGTGCAGAGATCCCCTAAATATAACCTACTGTTTTATGGACTAAAAAGTTTGACATGGGCATGAAAATTTAAACCTTTTCATTAGAGAGTTCCTTGGATAAAATTCCTAAGATACCTGAACCAACTTCAAAACCCATTATCAATCAGAAGGCACATGGGGTCCCATGGAACCCTGATAAGGACTATAAACCTTATGCTCCCAACACTGTTATCGTAAAATTTCTGTAAAATGGATGATCATGATTTAATTCTCCCAGTGTAGGAATGTGGAACTTCTTAAGCACAAATTTACAAGCGCCCTGAAGATTAAGCAAACAAAATTAGCTAGGATGGCAAACCAATTACATGTAAGGCTATGAATAGATGGAACGTTCTATCGTTAAAATGATATTGTCCTACGGACCCGGTTTAAGAACAGAGTTTGTTCCGTGTATTGGCAATGTTCCAAAATAAACACGGGCGATAACTCAAACTCTGTGCATTTTCTATGAACAATCCAGAAAAATCCGAATGTCAACATGGCGTTTAATTTGAAGCGAGGAAAAAACATTGAGAAAATGAGTTGAATTTTCGTTTGTATATGGATTATTTTTTACGTTAAAAGGCATATATAAAATCTCAAAAAGTTTTGTTGTGATTAATTTGGTAGTTATTTTCAGTGCAACTCCTTTTGTATTCTTCAAAATCATTTCGGAGTGGATCCACTCCGATTTGCTACATTGTAAGTATATGGGACGTATTCTAACTGTGGTGAGGGCTTGTCCCTAGACACAGTTAGATTATTCTAACTAAGCTATGAATAGTTAAATTAAATGCATAGTTCAAACAACAAGAAATAGAATGTTATGAAACTCACAGAAACATTTTGCATACAAATAAAAGTTAATTATTTATTTTACCACTGAACCTGCATTAGGATACTTTTGATGCAGGTCTTTCACTATTGTATCTAATTAATTCCTCATTTGAAAGTAAGGAAAATTTGTCCCTTTGATGAAGTCCTTCTTCGTATAATCTTTTATACACAAGTTTACGTGAACATTTGAAATGTGCCATTTTGGGGACAATGTAACCAATGTTTTGAAAACATTGCAGTTGTTCTCTGGTGATGCATTTTTTAATTCTTCCTCGCTGACCTATGAGATAAATCATCAGACTAGTGACATTTAAAGGTAAACAGCATAAAATGAAATATTTGGAGATAACGAACAGTATTCGAGCTCAAAAGTCCATTAAACATTACAAAATAGGAGCAGAGCAAACTCGGACCACTAAAACATCGGAGGTGGGATCAGATGCCATGGAGGAGTAAGAAACTAAAATTACTTAAATTAGGCAATTTAAATTCGCATACTGACAATATGGTGCGTGCTCATCTATTAAAGACCAATTTTAGCTTTTACATTCTATTAATTGCTAAAATTTAGACGACGTGTTGTGTGTTACGTAATGCGTTTATTATGAAAAAGGCTCAACACGACCTTATGTCATTGCTTCCATTGTCTTTTCCAACGACCGGTAAAACGGTAGGAATTAAGAAAAATAAAAAAAAAGGGGGGGGGTGCATATTGAGCAGGCTGACAAAGACATTGAAGTTGTTGCAAAAGTACACACAAATGCCAAAAAACATATACTAGTATACCTCTGAATGGGAAGTACCAGTACCGCTTCTTTCTCCAAACCCCTATATGTATGAAGACTGAGTCACCAGTGCCCTCAAGATAAGACAAACTGCAAGGAACCTAAGTTTTGTCACAAGCCTGTAAAATATTTCATTTAACGTTAACCTTGTGTTTCACCGATTTTTATGAGTGACATATTATTTATCATTAATACGGTTAATGCTATAAGATTTTCTTGAGAATGTTTTTCACGTTTTTTTTTTTTTCATTTTATTTTGTAACAAGCATTCTGAGAGTATTGCATTAGCAATACTAGTCCCCTATCGGCAAGTGCATTCTGGTTCCCATGTTTTATGAACAAGGGTCCTTTTTTGTTACCTGTATACATTTCACAAGCAGTAAAGGACAGATTTACTCAAGATTGCAGCCATTTAAAACCATCATGTCCCATAAAATTCGGCAAACCTCGGATGATTCCGTCGCCTTCATCAAATGAGAGTAAGATGAGGTACGAATCGACCGAGGTGTGCCCAGTAATCCTAGTTTAATTTGTATTATGTGCATTGTGTTTGATGATACACTTACTTCTTGAATTGCAATCTAACAACTACCGTAAACAATTTTTAACAAGAATTGGTATTTCAAATATTTCTAAAACGTTTAAACCCAGTATTTAAATTTAAAATATTGTGATAATCAAAATGATATTAAACATGCGAAATGGACTTTGAATAACATAGAAACTATACTGTAGAAACTCTAGACCATGGATTTGATTCACTTTTTGACATACACTTAAACATCTTAAACTTTTGAAGGAAGAACTAAATAAATCGGATATAAATTTTACACAAGAGGACATGTCAACTGACTCTGTAAGTTGTGTCATGATTTCTTGGAATACAGTAAGTCAATGCTCAAAAGAAAAAAACAAAATTACTTCGTACATTTCATTTGAAATTGACTGTAAGTTTTTCAAACAGTTGACAACCAAACCAAGGGGAAGATTATGAAGTCGAGAACCAGAACATGCTGAAGGAGGTGGAGAACCAAAACATGCTGAAATAGGTGTAGAACCAGATCATGCTGAAGGAGGTGGAGAACCACAACATGCTGAAGGGAGAACAAGAACATGCTGAAGGAGGTAGAGAACCAAAACATGCTGAAGAAGGTCGAGAACCAGAACATACAGAAGGAGGTGAAGAACCAGAACATGCTGAAGGAGGTGGAGAACCAGAACATGCAGAAGAAGGTGGAGGACCAGAACATACAGAAGAAGGTGGAGAACCAAAACATGCTGAAGGAGGTGGAGAACAAGAACATGCTGAAGAGGTGGAGAACCAGAACATACAGAAGGAGGTGGAGAACCAGAACATGCAGGAGGTGGAGAACCAAAACATGCTGAAGGAGGTGGAGAACCAAAACATGCTGAAGGAGGTGGAGAACCTGAACATGCTGAAGGAGATGGAGAAGCAGAACATGCAGGAGGTGCCATGGCTAATCAGTTTTCAAAGCCGTGGTAAATTAATTTGTTTACATCTAAATCTTCATTCAAAGCTCTATGTATATACTAAGTAAATGTTTATACTAAGTAAATGTTTTGTCACATTTAGCCATCCTCATGTTCGTAAATTTTCAAGTTTAAGGCATTTTAAAAAAAAATACAACAAATGAGGTAATTTAATCGTGAACATGGGATGGTCTCAGCATGCTCAGAAAATTGTGTTACTTTTCTTGTATAGTGTCTGCAATAATATTATTTCTATCATTTACCCTTGATAATAAGCAGGTTAACAGTTAAATTGTTTTATGCCTGTTCACAAAGTAGATTAACAGTTACTTGATAATTTTTAGGAAAAACATGATGATGATCAATGATGATTATAAGAGGTTATGATGCATAATTTCTCTTTCAGATTCTTCGGCCATCGACGAACCCAATTGGATCTTTGGTTTGTTTCCTTCAAAAAATTAAGAAAAAATGTGTATAAAAATGGAAGACAAGGAATTCTTCATTATTGATGAAGACTATAAAAACAGATCAATGATCCCGTCTAAGAGGCAGTTGGAAATAAATTATAAATGAATATTTAGTAAAAATAGGATCATACACGAACTGTGTATTAGATCGAGACGAATGAAATGCATTCACAAGGTAGGCCCCTTATCTGCTCATGAGGCAGGCTTTGCCTTGCTTACTACGTACATTAATTTATAAGAATTGGAGATTAATTTCAGAAGACACATTTGTAAATACAATCTTAACACTCCTTAGTCATGGTATATTTAATTCACGAAATGTTTCAAGAGTGTAGGATTCAAATAAGTTAAAGGTATATAATAAGACTTATACGTCGCCGATGTTTTATGACTCGAACTAACCCTCTGTGGCCACATATTGGATTTTGATGAAATTGTATTTTATAAAGTTGATAAACAATAATAAAAAAAAATTATTTGAATAATATTTCAATAATCTTATTAAGAAAAAACTTTTCAGTCGGCACGATTTAAGTGGGTCGGTGGCGTTAGGGGAAACAAAGGTATTTTTTATTTTGGCCTTACTAATTTGTTACATCAAATTATTAATTTGTTATAACAAATAATTAATCTGTTATATCAAGTTATTAATCTGTTGTATCAAATTATTAATTTGTTATAAAAAAAATTGATAATTTGTTATATCAAACTGATAATTTATTTTAACAAATTACTAATTTGATATAACAAATTACCAATTCGTTAAAACAAATTACTAATTTGTTTTAACAAGTAATTTGTTTTAAAAGATTGATAAATTGTTAGTTTGTTTTAACAGATTGATAATTTGTTATCACAAATAGATAATATGATATAACAAATTGATAATTTGTTAAAACAAATTAATGATTTGTTTAAACAAATTTAAAAAATATATTGCTGCGGCCCTAATACGACTGATGTTAAAAAAGCTAAACTAGTCTTCCAGATTCCACGCGGGCGACCACTGAATTTGCTGAATTATCATCTTTTTGATTACTTGATCAATAACTGTAATTTTTTTACCTTGTGAAGTGGCTGATAAATATATAACCTAAACAATATGTTCGTTTATATGCCGTAGTCTGCATAATGGACAAATTGCCTCTGGGTTTTTTACAACTCAAAAATACACACACGATTTGGGATATAAATAATTCACACAGAGAGCTCGAAAAAGTTAGAATGTAAGTGTAATTATATTTTTAAAACAGCTTGTACTTATTGTAACTGAAAAATTACCCCCAGCCCTTGCTTCAAAACAAATATCATTGCTAATCGACAATCTTTGCATTTTATCAGAGTGTAATATAAAAGAAAAATAAATTGCTCATGGAATCACATTCTTATAATTTAATTAAAATTTTAATTATTGCCTGCATTAAGTCAAAATACCATCCGTGTATTATAATTATTCGTATCAAAAGCATAACCAGAAATCGATCTCTTGATTATTATACATAACTGCTGGTTATGCAAATGAACGATTAGCAGGCGTGTGAAGACTTCCATTGGCATCGCTATTCCAGCTAAAGCAGGGTATGTCACCGATGCAGCTCGTAACAAATTTGCTTGGTAGTTTCACGATCCTCACTGGACGCGAATTCACTAATGCATCGGGCACACTTTCGCTATTATTCGATTCACGTGATTCAATATTTACATCATTCGGTGGTTCACACACTGTATCATCAGATATCGGTTCAAGGTACTTTTACACATGAGTAATGTTACACTTGTAGCTTGCACCATTTTTCAGCACGGAAATACTGTTTTCATTCTTGGACACAACTTTATATGATCCCGCTTTAAAGTTTGATGATAGTTTGTTTTCAGGTCGCCTTTATTCTAAATCCCTTTCCTTTGCTTGAGATTTTTCGTCAGCATGATATTTCTTTCCTATGAATTCCTCTCTTCTCTGCATCACGGATTTCCTGGTCTGCATCATCTGGATCGTAAAATGTAGCGTGCCGGGTTGGAAATCTTGTCCGGATTCCTGTAGTAGAATGCGGCGTTGTTCTGTACATGGTCAAGTAATCAGATAATTCAACTCGCTAATTCCTCTTCTGCATTTGAGCAATTTTCAATCGTTTAAGAATTGACCTGTTCTGTCTTTCTACTTCACCGCTGGCTTGGGGCAAAGACGGAGTCACTCGCCGATGTTCTATATCATGTTGTTCCATGAAATCTTCGAATTCCATACTGATGAATTGAGAATTGAGAACTGTTACAATCTGTAATGGTAAACCATGTGTTTCAAACATCTTGTGAAGACTTTTTATATATTTTTGTCGGTTGTGGTCTTCGTCAAGATATCGACTTCCACATATCTACTGTAATAATACACCACTACAAATAGACTGTCTCCTGATGGTAGAGGTCCCAATAAATCTGCACCAAGTAACTGCAATGGTCCTTTTGGAAGTTCAGCTCTCTTAACAGGCTCTGGACTGGATGTCTTACTCACCACTTGACACGCATGGCATCTCTTACACATCTCTTAAGCATCGCGATCCATCCCAGGCCACCATACTTTTGTTCGCAAATGTTTTTTCATTACTACTATTCCTAGGTGTCCCTCTTGAGCGATTTTTAAAGAAGTGGTACGTAGAGTTTCAGGCATTATGATTCTAGTTCCTCGAAATACAAGTTTTCCAATAACTGACGGTTCATTTTTCACTATCAGATATTGTTTGTTTTCACCTTTTTTTCCATTTTCCTGTTCGAATACTGTTTCGAACACTCTAAAGAACTTGATATTTGCCGACTCACGTTCTATCTGCCGCCCGCGTGGCGCAGTGTTAGGAGCGTCTGCTCTAGAGTCGCGGAGTAAAGAGTTGATCCATACGTCGGGGATTCGATTCCCACTGTGGGACGACGTGGAGACCGATCCTTTATATGAGACCGTATAAATCGAGATCCCGTGTCGCAGTAGGTGCGTGCTGGCACGAAAAAATCCCTCACTGTTCAATGGCCAAGAGTGCCGAATAAAGGTCATAATTTGTAGCCCTCCATTGGCTAGTGGTGGCGTCTCCATAGAACTGAAAAATTCTCGAGAGGGACGTTAAATAACAAACAAACAGACACTTTCTTTCTGTTGATTTGAAGCAGAGTGTATAGATATGAATTTCAAAAAACCTTCACTATCTGTCTGTTTGACTTTCCTCTCATTTATTGTTGTCAATCTGATAACGGATCTGCTGTGTTGTCCTTTCCCAAAATCGATATAGCTGTAGACGCAACACCCATCTACTGATCCTCGGACTTGGTTTATACTTTGCTGAATAAATGTATTCCAAAGGCTTATGATCTGTAAGAAGTTCAGTCATTTCCATAGAGGTAGATATGAAACGTTCACATGCCCATATCATGCCAAGCACTTCCTTTTTTTGTTTGAGAGTGACGTTTCTCAACAATCATAAGACTACTGCTTGCATAGGAGATAATGCGTTTTTATCCCATGTTTACCCCCTTTATCCCGTGGATATGACTCATTGGATAATTTTTTCGTAATCCACAGGTGTGACGTCACAATGGTTTTTGCATTAGCGCGATGAAGTAAAATAAAGTGGAGTCCTATATAAAACAGTGTAAAACATTGGTTGTGAAGTATTAAACATAGGATAAAAAGAATCTCCCATGATTTGTAGTTGGATATGACTTTTATCCAACTCGTTGTGTGTTTTTATCCCCTCGCCAAGGCTCGGGGATAAAAAACACACAACTCGTTGGATAAAAATCATATCCAACTACAAATCATGGGAGATCCTTTATTTCTCCATTCTGAATTTTTAGCAAGACAGCTCCAAGACCAACACTTACAGTACTGGCATTTGTAACAAGGTGTGTTTTTCGCTTCAGTATCGAAGTAACCTGAGGTTTCCGCATTTGTCAACTTTTCTCTCGACTTCCTCTACAGAAAGTAGAGGCTGAATCCAGATCTATCAAAAAGGGTGACCGCCCAGTAGTCCAATAATTTGTGGCCACATATGAGCAACCAAAGCCAAGCAACAAAAGTCACTAATTTCTGAAAATTACTTTCTTCTAAAATGAAGTAGTATTATTTGTAAATGGATAACTTCGACTGGGAACTGTAGTTCGTATGGAGAATAATTTCTGCGCATGGTAACTACAGTAAACCACCCGAATAAACTGTAGTAAAGAGAACGGAACTATAATGCGACCATTTTTATTGCTTCATGCCGCTTTTGAATTTTTCTTTACTTATGAAAGTGATGATACTCCTTTTTTCAGCAAAATCTAAGTCTTCATTCAATGTACTTGCACAAAGTTTTTTGCCAAGAGACAGTTTGCCTAAAATTACTGCAGAGACGGTTAACTATGACATGCATGGAACACCAAATCAATGTAGAAACAAATATATTTGCATGAACCTAAATAATTGAAATACCTCAAAAATGGACAGACGGGCAGCAGGTGATCAGAAAAGCTCACTTGAGCTTTTAACTCAGGGAAAGCTCAGGTGAGCTAAAAATTTAACGTTACCATTTTGAGGGGATTGCTTATTTCCTCTAAAGTATTGAATGACCTTACTTGTAAATTTATTTTGTCTCTGCAATAATGTTTTGGATTAATATTTTCAAAATACTCGAATGAAAACTCTGGCGATGAAGCTAGAGAGGAGTTTAAAATGTTCACGTTTTCAAGGATACCTTACTGTTTCGCAACTTCAATACGTTGTTTTTGTTTAAGTGTAAATGAAGCAAGTTTTGTGTCTAATTTTTTCAAACTCGCATTTTCTCTTCTGAGTTGTGTTATTTCCCATTGAGTATCAGCAACATTCTGATTTTAAATTGCCAACGATTGTCCCCAGTTCCCGGATGTAACGCAAATCCAAT